CCTAGCACTCTGGGAGGCCAAGGCGGGCGGTTTGTTTGAGCTCAGGAGTTCAAAACCAGCCTGAGCAAGAGCGAGACCCCGTCTCTACTAAAAATAGAAAGAAATTAATTGGACAACTAAAAATATATAGAAAAAATTAGCCGGCCATGGTGGCGCATGCCTGTAGTCCCAGCTACTTGGGAGGCTGAGGCAGGAGGATCGCTTGAGCCCAGGAGTTTGAGGTTGCTGTGAGCTAGGCTGACACCACGGCACTCTAGCCCGGGCAACACAGTGAGACTCTGTCTCAAAAAAAAAAAAAAAAGAGGTCTGTGTAGGCCACAAATATTGTCACTAACCAGTATAGGAACAGTCAAGTAGGGAGATACATGTGAGCCTATGAAAGCCTATGCCAATCACCAATAATCACACACACTCACCTGTTTGAGGTACATGTTTAAGGACATATGCAGGTGTTAGGGTTATTATACAATTCTTTTTTCCCCCCACAGTATTTATGCATTCTAGCTACGAGGTCTGCACTCCCAAACCAATCCTGCATGTTTATTGACTTCTGTTATAAATTAAGGATTACTACAGACAGTTCCTGACACGATGGTTCGACTTAGGAGTTTTCGACTTTATGCTGGTGTTAAAGTGATACGCATTCACAACAAACAGTAGTTTGAATTTTGGTCCTTCCCCAGGCTAGCAGCATGCACTAAGACATTCTCTGTCCCCGTCGGCCATGAAATCAACCCAACACTCTACAGTGTACTACTGTGTTGCTGGATGATTCAGCCCAACTGTAGGCTAATGTAAGTGTTCTGAGCACATTTATAGTAGGCTGGGCTAGCCATGTTCAGTAGGTTAGGAGTATTAAATGCTTTTCTGACATATTTTTAATTTGCCATGGGTTTACTGGGATGTAACCTGATATAAGTCGAGAAGCATCTGTGCTTGGGGATTTTGGCTAGAGAATCCTGGAGGCCAGTCCCATGCCTTGCTGAAAGCTAGTTCTATGGATCCAGGAAGCTATTGAACCCACCTAGCACTTCATTTCTTCCATTGCAGAGTCTTCCTAACCTCCTTCCTCCCAAATGTTTTCCCTCCCAGCTTCCTTAGACCACAAGGACTTCTCTTATGTCTAAGTCTGGCTCAGCATCTGGGTATCTTAGAGTTTTGTTGTCTTCCCCTGGCTTTAGTAGGGTACTAACAAAGGCAGACAGACGGAGACTCGTAAACTAGCATTCTGTACTTCAGCTGGAATATTCCATGAGCTCATGGCCTTGGGCCCATGAAAGGACTCATTTCCCAGCTTCAGTATTTTGAAATACTAGAGAGCCCGTTTCCTTACAACATGACTGTCTTACAGACAGTAGATAAGCACGGCAGGACCCTCTGCACATTCAAGTAAACCCTGTCGTGGATTGAATCCAGTCACTCCTGCTCCCCCTGGCCATGTTAGTGCAGGGCCCAGTGAAGTTTACCTTTGCCTCTAAGCCTCCATTCTGAGAAGCACCTTACCACCTTTGTACTAACAATGAAATGCAATTAGGATGCAATAGATCAGGCTTTCTTTTCACGTATACTCTCTTTTATTACAAGTGAGAAGCACCATTCTTTAAAGAAATTCAAAATTACTTTCAAGTTATTTGAATTCACGTTAACTTCATCCCAGTCTGAGTGGTCAAGGACAAATGAGCACCCAGACTGGAATACCCCACCTGAGAGAACCACACAGCTTGCCCAGAGCCATTATCCTGCTGCGGTGGTGAGTGTAGGACACACTGAGCCTTACTTCACCTTAGTGTTTCAACCCTGGCATGTTGCCTTGCTTAGGTCATTGGGGAAGGAAAGTCTTCCTTTGGAAGTGTCTGTTTTCCTGACAAGAGTCTTGGTTGGAAAGAATTTTTCAGTTAACTGTAGGAGGCAGCTTTATAGGCAGAATTTGGAGTTTTGCTTTTTTTTTTTTTTTTTAAGGAAAAATGTTTGTAATGTGTGCCTGGAATAGGGCAGGAAAAGCATTTTGACATTTGGAAACATTAGAAAGTATCCTATCTTTTGGGGCTGTTTCTAATGTCACTTCACTGCATAGCTCCCTCAGTTCCAACTAATGAAAGTGTTAGTTCCAGGATCTCACTATGCTGGGCCCCTAGAAGCCTGGTAAAGAAGAACAAATGGATACCTCCTCCCACCCTACATTTTGTTGTCCAGATGTGACCTTCGTCCCAATACACAGAAGTGATAATGACCAATGTCATGGATGCAGAGTACAGCTTTTCTTCTATTCTCAGCATGGTTCTGAATCAAGTTTCCAACTAGGCAAGAATTAAAACAGAAAAGAAATAAAGGAGGGGTGTCTAAGCAATCAAGTCTTCCCTGGAAGAGAAGAGGAAGGCATAAGAAGTGAATAATAGGTTTATTTGCATATACACAAGAGAAGAGTTAACCGTTGCTGGGTGAGAAGAGGAGGTAAGGCTTCAGCAGAGGAAGGCACCTTGACAGACAAACAAGAGACTCTTGCCTTATTAAATCAAGCACAGTTGCAAACTTCATTTGCCCCAAGCCAACAACTCATTTAACTCATTTACCTGCTGTCCTAGAGAATCATTTACAAAACCAGGTGGAAAACAAAGTAGAGAGAAACAGTTTTAAATATCTGGTCCTGCCACTTAAAACTTTATGTACAGGATGCAGAAAAAAAACATAAGAGGCACTTCCAAATAGCTCTTAACCTAATCAGTGCCATCTGTCCTGCTAGTAAAAATATCTACCATGGAAGAAATTAGGGATTAAACGTGCCTCCAAAGTTGGGGCCTCAATTCTACAAGAGTTTAGGCAAAGGTACCCTAGGAATAGTTCCCGCCAGGTTTCCAGCCCCACGACCACAGACACAAGACCTCTGGAAATGAGGGTGGAGCAAGCACAGAAACAAGCATTTCTAAGCCTGCTCCTGCAGGTCTGAAGGGGCCTCTCTCCTGGTGAGCTGAGTCTAGCATGCTGGGAAGTTTCTCCCCCAAATGGAAGGCATCCTTACTAAAAATGATCTTTCTTGGCTTCTAAAGTTAACCAGAATGAGCTCTGACTTCTCTTTTGAGTACCCAAATGAGAGTAAGGCTTTTAACATGAAAAGACCAAGTTCTGCATTTGGGAACTGGAACTACCAAGTAGCTAGTTCCCAAGGGAACTTTACTTCCTTTTCTCTAGGAAGATACGTGGATTGTCCTTAGAGAAGTCAGAAGAGGCTACCTGCTAATTAGATTAAAATAAAATATAAAGATTGGGTATGCTGAGAAGGGGAAGAGAAACACACGCTGAGTGAATACATCCTTTTTTGTATATAAAGGATTAAAAAATTCCAATTTAATACATTTTGGAAAAGCAAATGTAAAATGACTTGGGCTTATAAAACCAGAATTTACAATTATCTGTGAATAGTCAAAGACAAATCATAGAACCATTTTGATTACAAATCCAAAGCAATTCTAATGTTGGTTACAGGATCACTTTCCCGCTTCCCCAGTAAGCGTCCAGTTGTTAAATTGTACACATCCCCACTGCTACTCACACTCCTTTATCTCCTTCACCTAAACAGTGTTTTCACACCCCAGCCATATCACACACACGTAAAGCTTAGTGAGATGGTATCTCCTTTTGGCTTATATCAACGACCTTCCTTTTATAAATAACACCCCACCTCCCACCCCCAGTGCCTGAATTTATCCAAGTCTTCTGCCTCCACAGATGGCCTCCCCTGTCCCAGTTCTAGCAGGACAGGCCCTCCTCTACAAGGAACACTGGGGCAGGGAGGCGATGCTAGTCTCCCATTCGGTCCTCCTGACGCCAATCCCAGCCAGGCCCCAGCTGTCTAGCACTCTTGTACTCAAGAAAGCTAAGTTGTTCTTTTCTCTCTTCCTCATTTCTTGCCAGTACTCTGTCTTTTCATGACATCTATGCCAACAAGATATCTGGTCACCCCTAGGTCCTCCGGTCTTGCACAATCCTTCATTGATAACCAAGTGACTGTAACCACGACCAACCACAACGCTAAAATCTCTTGGGTCTTTTTCTCCCCCTCAATCCTTTATCTATCTACCTCAATGAAACTGAATCTCTTCTGGGAATCAGGAATCTTAAACTAGACTCCTCCCCCAACACCCTCTGCCTGCTAACAGACCTACTCAGTAAGAATCTGTTACCTTGAGATGCCTACTGCTCTGCAAAGTCTAGTCAGGACACCACAGCCTCTGCCAACGGCAAGTCTGAGAGAAGATGCCAGTCCTACCAGTTCTAACCAATGGTTTTAGGTTGAGTTAAATGAATATAGTCCCACTTTCTGCTCTTCACTACATTTCTTTGTTAACACGCCTGTAACATCCACTTTAGTAGTCTGAGCACAAAGCTCTTGGGAGCTGTCTTTTCCCTTTCTCTCGGTATGCCTAGACTCCATCACGTGGAGCCAAGGAAGCACCTGCTGGCCTTTTGAGTGCCTCTTAGGAACTAGCACCTAACTGGTTAAAGTGTGTTGTCCACAACTAGTTATATTTTATGGCCTCCAATACAGTACATGTTGCAGCATTGCTCAATTTGCGAACAGTGAAATTTATCAGGGATCTATATTCTCTTGAATCTGATCTTAAAGTGCTAACCTCTTATTAGCATCAAAAATGCTCCACTTTTAGTATGTCCACATTAAATTGTTCAATGAAGTGTTACTTAAAGAAAACATGGAACATTTCTTTAAGAAAAGAACCATGTTTTCCTCTCCACCACAGCCAATGGGCTGAAGGCTTGTTCCATTCTCCACTCCATTTTTCCAGCATAAATCTACAATTCGCTGGCAGCACAATCTGATTTAACAGGCACCCGTCTTCAGACCAGAACACCTATGTCATGTAAACAGGGTGAGATGGCAAAAAGTACATATTCATAGGTGCTTTCTGATGGAGAAGTGGAACAAGGGTCTTAGGAGACAATGAACTCACACGTGCCAGTGCGTGCACACACAAGAACAAGACAAGCGTCTCAACAAGGATTCACTTTCACAGAACCTTGCACAGGCACACTATGCTCAAGTCTCACTTAGAAAGGAGTCACTTGGGTTTTTTTTCCCTTTCTTAACACAGCACAAGCCAACGGCCACCTAGACACTCAGACCCACCGATGAATGTTGGATAGAAGGGAGCAGCATCAGACACAACATTTCAGGCCCTGGTTTAATGTGCCTTTAATACTTGTTTTTCCTTTCCTCTGTGTTCACTAAACAGGAATTTTTTTTGTAAGGCTACTTTTTGTAGCTTTTTGTTTTCCCTTTTTATTTATCATGTTTTTAATTTCTTCTCTGAGGAGGAATTCTCTGAATCCGTATCTTCCAATTCAACTCGGTGCCTTTTGAGGCCACTGTGGCCATGAACAGCCCTGCTGCTGTCTGTGGCTGAGGGGTCAGTGGGGTCCTCTCTTGTTCCAGCACTGGGGGTCTCACAGGCCATTCCAGACCCACAACAATCTTTGTGTAGGAGTGTCCCTGTCAGGGACAAGTTATCATGGTCAGTGTCCGAATTTCCCGGGGAAGAGTAGGCCACCACCTCCAGCTCTCCAAAGTTCTGCCCATTGTTGTGAGGGTGAGAGGGGCGGGGGTGTAAGCGTCCATTGTTGTGGTTGGCACAGATGGTTTCAAGGTTCCTCTCCTCATTGTCATCGGACTGGGTCCTAGGACAGTTGCCAGACCCACTGCTGAGAGTGGAGCCAGATGCCTTGGGGATAGGAGGAGACGGTGGCTCCTCAGCCCGACTGCTCAGGGCCTTTCCATTGAGCTTCTTGGTTTCAAAAGGGTGTTCTACAGAGCCACCATTGTTAGTGTCCTGAGAGGTGCCCTCTGGCACCTCTGCCCAAGGGTGGCTACTGTGCTCATGGCCTGGGCCACTGTTGGGATTCCTAGTAGAAGTCCCTTCTTTAAAAACATCCTTGCTGCAGCCTTCAGGGGGCAAGTCCTGGTTCCTCTGGGCCATTGCTGTGTTTAGACAGGCTTCCTTACTGGAAGAAGGGGCTGGGTTGTCTTTGAGGCTGGTTCCCGCCCTCCCTTCCTCTGCCTCGGCTGCCACTAGGGAGGTCTCTCCATCTTTATTATTTGAGTAGGAGATGTAGGAGTAGCGGAGCCACTTGTAAGCTTTATAAATCTTTCGCTCAACTGATTCTATGTCAGAAGTTGGTGACGCCCGGCTTGGCTGAATCTCCAGTGTGGAAGTGCTCCGCTCAGGAGAGGAGGTAGGGGAGGAGGAGAGGTCATCCACTTTAATCTGGGGGTAATCATAGTTGTCTTCTCCAATGTAGGTGTTGGTGGGCTTGACTGGGGCACTGGGCCTTTCTTCTCGGGGTGTCTTCTGTCGGCGCCGCATGGCGTTCCGCTGCCGGGTAGAAGCTCGGCGTTCATTCAGTTCCTCCTCATCCTCTGAGCTGCTGGAGCTGCTGGAACTGCTGGATTCATCTTCAGGACTGGGTGACCGTGGCCGGGGAAAGAGATCTGTGTCCAGTTCAACCTCACAGGCATTCTCTTCAGAATCGGATTCATTGGAAAGGGCCAGGAGGCGTTTGTCCTGGTAGCGCCGCAGCGCAGACAAACGCTGCTGGCGGGAGGCTGCATCCTCACACGTGGGTGTTGGTGGAGTTGACGCCACTGCGTTTGTGGTGGTGACCCGCAGGGGTCCCAGGTGGAAGGCGTTGTCAGCAGACTCATCGACTGTAGGAGGTGGGGAGCGAGGCAGCGAGGCCGAGGACTCTGAGTCAGTGTAGCCCGAGCGCTCACTGACCCCCGCATGCAGCTGAAGGATAGTACTCTCACTAAGGTCACTGTCGGAGTCAGAGCTCCAGCCCTCAATCTCTCGGCGTACCAGGGAGTCAAAGAAGGCCATCATCCGGGGGTCTTCCTGGACCGACTGGTTGGCGTAGTCATGTGACAGGCCACTCCCACTGTTCAGCACAAGACTGATGTACTCTTCATGGGTATAGAGGCAGCGGGAATCATCCTCAATTCGACCATCGAGGTCTCCGGTACATCCTGGCTGCTTATATGGGCTCCAGATCTGCACGGAAGTTGAAAAACAAAAGCAGCAAGGACTGATTAGAAAGTGTTCTATAGCAGAGCTTCCCCAAACCATCCCTGTCATTTAGCCAGGACTTGCTAACCCACTTTAAAAACATGTTCTTTATCAGCCGGGTGCGGTGGCTCACGCCTGTAATCCTACCTCTCTGGAAGGCCGAGGCGGGCGGATTGTTTGAGCTCAGGAGTTCGAAACCAGCCTGAGCAAGAGCGAGACCCCGTCTCTACCAAAAATAGAAAGAAATTAATTGGACAGCTAAAAATATATAGAAAAAATTAGCTGGGCATGGTGGCTCATGCCTGTAGTCCCAGCTACTCGGGAGGCTGAGGCAGGAGGATTGCTTGAGCCCAGGAGTTTGGGGTTGCTGTGAGCTGGGCTGATGCCACGGCACTCACTCTAGCCCAGGCAATACAGTGAGACTCTGTTTCAAAAAAAAAAAAAAACAAAACATGTTCTTTATCAAACTGGATCTTGTGTGCTGCATATGAAAACTGAGACTTTTAGAGTCAGATGTGGGGAAAAGCATGGTCTAGGACATTGTATTAGCCTAATGTCAAGAGACCTAAGTCCTGTCCCTAGGCCCAGGCTAATCACACACGCTGTCTCCCCCACAATCCCCCTCCCTTTCAATTTTGTCTATGAGTACCCTGGAAATTACAATCATAATTTCGGAGCGTAAAGGATGACTTGAAGATTGGCCGGTGTGTTAAAAAACTTTCAGAAGACTGAAGCTGTGCACAGAGAGGTACCACTTTTCCAAAGTGAAAACAATCCCAGCAGTCAGTCCTCTGCGACAGTTAATATTTCAGCCTATAGCTCCACCTCTCCCCAACTGCAACATTTCTATTTTTAACTAATGGGAATTGCTTACTGGAGCTTGATAAGAATAGCCAACTGCCTACACTGCAGTTCCCTCTTGGACATGAGGCATCAGTTACCGAGGAAACTGGGTTCTCTAACCAGAGAGCTGCTGCCTTGCTCCCCGACTCTTCTGTTAACTGCAGGAATAGGTAGGACACACTCCTCAAGAAGAGTTGAATGTAGCTCCATCCATTAACATCCCTCCACTCCACAGTCAGGGCCATGGGCTCATAGCTAAACGGTGGCAGAACTAGAGAATTCAAACTCAGGTCTGTCTGATTCAAAGGCTCACCTTTACAGATTGGATAAGTTATGCAAAAATCAAGTTCAAGGTAATTAAGCTGTCACTGCAAATGAGGATGATTAGCTCCACCTGACTGCCAGACTGGTCCACAGAGCAGCACAGAGCAGCTCAGTTACATCAGCCTGTAGCCATGGCAACTGAGATGAAATTCCAGGCAATTTTCTTGCCTGACAGGCTGGTGTCTATCTTTAGATGGCATCAAACCCAGAAAACATTGGCCCCTCATTCCCCATCCTCCGTCAAGACAAAGGCTTTGTTTCCCCAAAGCTATCTAAGGACAAATTCACCTCCCTGTGGGAATTTTCTTGAGGCTCATTCCTGCCATTCTTTACTTGGCAATTCCTGGGAGGTGGTGTCTCTTTGGAAGACCCCCACTTCAAAAGAGGCTGAAGAAACCTTCTAGATTAGCTCCTCTCCACCAATTCCCAACTCGAATTCAATCGTCCTTCAACTTTGTTCCCACAACTCTTCAGATGTTCTCCCCTGTCCAGCTTCATAATTTCACCCAGGAGAGTTTTAGGGCAGTGGTTCTCAAACTTTGGAGTGCATAAGAATCATCTGAAGAATAATTACAGTGTGGATTATTGATTCCTTAGTCCTATTCTTGGAGATTCTGATTCAGTAGGTCATGGGTTGGTACCAGGACTATGCATTTTTAACAATCACTCAAGGGGTAAGTAGGTGGACCAACTTTTAAGAAACACTGGACTGGGCCGGGCGCGGTGGCTCACGCCTGTAATCCTGGCTCTCTGGGAGGCCGAGGCGGGCGGATTGTTTGAGCTCAGGAGTTCGAAACCAGCCTGAGCAAGAGCGAGACCCCGTCTCTACTAAAAATAGAAAGAAATTAATCGGACAACTAAAAATATATAGAAAATATTAGCCGGGCATGGTGGCGCATGCCTGTAGTCCCAGCTACTCGGGAGGCTGAGGCAGGAGGATCGCTTGAGCCCAGGAGTTTGAGGTTGCTGTGAGCTAGGATGACGCCACGGCACTCCAACCCGGGCAACACAGTGAGACTCTGTCTCAAAAAAAAAAAAAGAAACACTGGACTGTAGTTAGCATAAAATAAGTAGCAGAAAATAAAAGGATTTGTCTGAAGGGATCTTCAAATTCTTTGTGACACTCAGTGTTTGGGAAACATTTAGACACAGTCTCTAGCACAAGGCTCAAGCTATAAATGACTATCTCTGCAAACAGATGTCTGAGGGAATAAAAGAGTTTGGTGGCTTAGAAAGGAAACTGAGGGGTCCAAAAGAGAAAGCCCTTGGGATGATTTTTGGGTCTTATTCTTAATTCTGAGCCAAATTTCTCACCTCCCAGTTTAAAAATGGCAAAATATTAACCATGTTCCCTAATATGAAAATAAATCTAACAGAATTTGTTAAAAGAAGTGCAAATAATAATGGTAAGATGCTGGCCTAGCTACTCAGCAAGCCAGTTTTTAGGTTCCAATCTATTACTACCCAGCCCCCTATGTTTTCACCTCAGGAATGAAAATCATAACATTGAACGTCAGCTTTTGTTTGTGCTCTGGAATGTATTACGCTGAGGTAGACTGTTCATTCCTGAAGCTTGGAGTAATGGAACAACACACAGGATCAGAGGCAGGAGACTTCAGTGTGGGTTCCCACTCAGCTCCTAGCTAGCTGGTGACTTTGGGTGAAGCTGAGCTCCCTCATCTAAACAGTGAATTAGATGGGTCTCATTTCAATCATAAGATTCAGAATGAAACAACCTCCCTCCCCACCAGACTGCCAGTCTTCCGTCTTCAAGGGACTCTTGGCCTAGAGCTGCAGGAGCAGAAAAAACAAGTAGGGGCCTCAACCCCACCACCTCTTGTGGCCCTCAGCAAATGACTTTACCCCCCACCCTTTTTTTTTGGAGACAGAGCCTTGCTCTGTTGGCCCTGCCAGAGTGCAGTGGTGCATTCATAGCACACTGTAACCTCAAACTCCTGGGTGCAAATGATCCTCCTGCCTTGGCCTCTGGAGTAGCTGGGACTACAGGCATGCACCACTACACCCAGCTAATTTTTCTATTTTTTGTGGAGACAGGTTCTCACTCTTGTTCAGGCTGGTCTCGAACTCCTGGCCTGAAGCAATCCTCCTGACTCGGCCTCCCAGAGTGCTAGGATTACAGGCGTGAGCCACTGCGCCTGGCCAACCTTACGCTTGAAAGCCTCTGTTTCTCATCAGTGGAAATGAGGATGATGAAATAACATAGCTTATACCCAAGCACTAATAAATGTGATGCTTTCTCTTTTGTTTGGCAATTGAATACCTCAACCAGAATGTTTTAAACTTATCCTCAGAGAGACTTTTGAATATCAGAAGTACTGACTGTCCCTATTATCTTTGTCCTTAAAATATCAATTTCAACCATTTTTGAAATTATTCATTTCTTTACACCAATAGTCAACAGTTTAAAAGTGAAGCAATTAAAAAACAACTTCCTGTTATTAATACATATTAAATGTGGCTAGCCATGCCTCCTCATGGGGCAAAGTTCACAAGAAAAGGGGGAAGGGATGAACAGCTTTCTAAGCTCAGTGAAAAGCTGAGCTCAAGGGGCTGCTGAGAAAAAGGATGCAGTTCAATTCTTATTCAAACATCATCAAAATGGGAAGCAATTAAGTGACAAGTGTTTGAGCTACACAAGTGACCATGACATGCTTGATGTAGTAGCTCTAAGTCCTCTTCTCTCTTTGTACTATTATACTGAATTTAGAAATTTGTCCATCTACCAAGAAAAAAACTACACCGATAAGGTCCCAAATTGTTACTGCAGGGCTTGCCACATTCTCTAATCTGGCTTCCAAGACTCTGGGCCTGCCTCCAGCCTACCTTCCCAGCTCTATGCCCCAGTCCTCCCTTCCTGTCCTCTCCCATTTGTCTGAAAAGGTCCTATACTTTCCTGCTTCTGAGCAATTTATTCATAAGCACACAACGGGTGGTGAATAAATATTTACTGATCCAATGAAATAAATATCTATTCCCTCTACTTGGAATATTCTTTGTATCTTATTCCTCTCCTTCCTTTTGAAGTCTTTGGTCTTCAAAATCTAGCTCAAATATTACCCTACACTGAGATTACCCCACATAAGAAAAATCTCTTCCTCCTCCCACAGCATTTTGTTTATGTCTCTTGTGCTTCTATTGCATTTCTCATTATCTTTCTTTCTTGTCTCTCCTACTGGGTCATCAATTCCTAAGGAGACCTGTGATACCTTTCCTCATCTTTGTGTTCTCCATAGGGCCTGGCACACAGTAGATAAATCCACATAGGGAAGAATAAACAAATACTGGTCTTTGAGAAAAAAATGTCGGGATCTGCCCTATCTCCACCCCCTCAACATTTTAACTACGAAACAAAACCCTTTCTTTTGCTGAATATGAGCATTCAGGGGGACAGAACACCTGTTATGGGTGAGAAGAGGCTGGTCCTGACAACAGGGACGCTTCTCCTTCCCAGCTAGAGAGGTGGCAGTAAAGGACAAGGACAGCGAGAAGGGGGAGCAGAAAGAGAGATGGAGAGAGAAAAGCAGGCCTCAGGCTGGACCAGAACATGATGCGCTTTGAGCCATTGATCCTCTCAGAAATAGCAAGGAGGAAAGTGACATTTATTGAAACAGGAATTGTCAGGCACAGGTAATGCACAAGGCACCTGGGTGGCAATCACTGTTAGTGCCCTCACTTTACAGACAGGAGACAGACCGAGGGTTGAGACTCAATGGCCTTTCAGGATGATGTAAGCACAGGCAGGGGCAGTAATTCCAATAGAGAGATGAGGCCAGCATGGCACTCGGTCTCACCCTCCTCCTTCCCACGTCCCTTCCTGCAATGTTAAAACCATGCCCTTCCCTACCACACTGTGAATGGGGCAGACATCTGTGAGAAAGCAAAGCTGAGAACTCCAGAGCTATTTGCTTTCTCTCTCACTATGGTCATCTGTGTAGACTTAAGGTTTCAAATGGTTAAATGTGCCTCCTGCTGGGGCAGGGTTCAGATCCCATGGGAACCTGGGAACAGTGAGCTCCACAGTTCAGTCTGGATAACCTCACAGAGAAAAAATTTTCTTCTCTTTCTCCTCTGAGAACTTGGCTAGTTTCCAACCTATAACCTTTAGGGTAAGGACTTCAACTGACTAAACAATAAATGGGGAGACTTAGCACAGAAGCATCCCAGAGTACGCAGCCAAACAGGAATTTCTCTTCTAAAGGAGATGCCCAAGCAGAGGGCTCTCTGAGAAAGAGAATGACATCAACGGGCCTAGAGAAGACACGTTTCAGTGCCAACCCGTTAGTCATAGGCCAAAGGAGAGGGGAAAGCAATGCATGAGACAGGGCCATTCCAATGACTGCCCAAGTGAAGCACTACTGAGATGATCAAATATAGGAGGGTCACTGCCTGCTGCCTTCCCACCAGCATGGCAGATGTGGTGGTACACTGGGAAGAACATAGAACAGGGTTCTGTCCTAGCTTTCCACTAATTAGCTGTGTGACCTCTGATAGTTAATTTATAATTTAAATCTCATCATCTGTAAGAAGAAAAAGTTGGTAAAAATGATCCAGAAGTCCTCTTCTAACCCTATGGGGAAATGTGTGCAGCCATAAAAGTCAGCCCTGATACATAGCACTGGCAAAGCCCACCTCGGGCAAATAAAAATATCAACCCACATGCCAATATGGTAGTTCTGATAGCTGTCCCCTATCACCAAATACAACTTGATTTAGCTCTGGATAGTTTTTTTAAAAATGAAGAAAATGAAAATTACTAAATCATCACAAACCAGTTTTTATTTTTTCTCTGCAAACTCTCTCAGGTTTTCAAGGTCATTTTAAGAAAAAAATTGAAGGCCAGGCACAGTGGCTCATGCTTGTAATCTGACAGCTTTGGGAAGCCGCCTAGAGTTCAAGACCAGCCTGGGCAACACAGCAAGATCCTGTCTCTACAAAAAATAAAAACATTAGCCATGTGTGGTGGTGCACACCTGTAGTCTGCTAGGAGGCTGAGGCTGGAGGATCACTTGAGCCCAAGAGTTGGAGGCTGCAGTGAGCTATGATTGTGCCACTGCACTCCAGCCTAGACAACAGAGTGAGACCCCCATCTCTAAAAAAAAGAAAATTAAACTAAAAAAAAGAAAAAAATTGAGGAATTTTAACTTTTAGTAGAAACATCTTCTATCTTTATCCTCAAGAATTCTACATTTACCCTGAATTCTCATTTCCTCAGATGTGGAAAAAGGGTTACTAGCAACTAAAATATGAGTGATGGGCAGTAGGTCATCCTTCTGTGGAAACAGGCCAGACTGGGTCCCTTTGTTGCAGCTATAAAAATATTTCACAAGCACATGCAGTAAGTTTTTTGATAAATCCTGAGACAATTTGGCTATGATTCTGGCAATCACTTAGATATATCTGTGTCACATTCTGATAGTAATTAATGGCAAGTGCACACTTGGTAATTGAGGGAGCAGTGGTTCTCCTAACCTCCAGGTGAGGTTTGGAAAGCAGAACTCGGCATAATCAACACCAAAGGCCATTGGAAACGCAGTAGCATAAAAGGCAGTGTCTAGAAGAGGTCTGTTTCAAAGCCCAGTGACTAGTTGAAAAAATGGTTCTGAAAGGAAAGTTTTAAAACCACTTTTTAATATCAACTTTCTAATATTTTATAATATGTCAAAATCTGAGAATTTTGATAGACCTTTAATATGTTTAGATACGAGTTCCTACATACATTGTTTTAGTTTCTTCTAATTATAAATTGTTATAATTTCTCTAAAAGGACAGAAGGAGAAGGTGCCTCACCTTGATAATCTTTTCTACACCAGAAGAGCAGATCATGTAGGTGTGGGGATTAAATCGGACCTGGTTAACAATAGATCGATGCCCTTTCAGCACCATGAAGGCTCCGTTGACCACCCTACCAATGCCACCTGGGAAGACAGAAGGAAACAAAAATCAAATGATGAAGTGGATGAAAGTAAACAGATTCCAGTAATGGCAGATAAACAGCTCTGAACAGGAGCAGAGATTTTTTTTATTAACTATACCACCAGCAGAATGCTTAATCTTATAGTTAAAGTTGCTATGGAAAGAGGGAAGATGAAACACCTCTCAGCATATGTGCTCTTACCAAGAGCCTTTATTTAGGCTTTAAGCATTGCCCACACCCACCCACTGCAATTCCATTGTCAATGAAACCAAAGCCACTTAAGACATTTCTCAAGTTTTTGATAACCAAGACAGAATCCAAGTGTTGCCTTGGAAAAGGCCAATCATGCGCTAAATGAGACTGAACTGCTTGGGAATAGCTGGGCAGCTGAGCCAGGAACATGCAAAACCAGAAGCACATAATGATTTAATATACAAAAAACATCTCCGATCCATTTGCTCTCAATTTCTGTGATAAAAATAGCAAATAAACTAAACAAAACAGAAACCCCCCAAAACAAAAACAAAACCACTGGGAAAATAATGGAGAGAATCCTCTTTTCCTCTCTGATAGCAGAGAGAACTAAGGATAAAGAAAGGAGACTTCAATCACTTTTATAATAAGCAGAGCCCAAGTACTGAGAATTTGAACTAGAGAGTGTGCCTTAAAGGCATCATGTATAGATTAAAGTCAAGTGGCCACTGATAGAAAGCTGTATTTTAAGGACCATTCTGTAGGCTTTCTTCTTCAGTGAATGAGAAAAGTACTAGAGCCTGGGAATTTATGAACTTGGGATAAACTCAAAGGTTCAACTTCACTGGTAATGGTATCACACCCATACAGAACACATGCACTCAAGCTCTGAATGAGGTCCCTTCAGAGCAATCATCAACAGCTTAGCACACACAGGGAAACTTGTGCCCCTGTGCAATTGGCAAAATCCAGACACAAACAAATAAGCATTCATTTATTTAATCGAGGAATATCTTTTTAGTTCCTACCAGGAGCATAGCACCACTAAGGCACAAAGTATCATTAGGCACAGTTTATGCTTCACATGCCTCCACCCCACTCCCAACTCTACCTTGTTCAAACATTCATTCCAAACATTTCTCAATGTCTCAGTGTCCGCAAGAAAGATGACTAGAACAATTTCCTGTCCCCAGAAATAACCTGGTTCTAGAGAACCTAAAACAGTTGCTTTCATAGAGGACTCTTACCATGCCCAAGGAGTTCCTTTGGGTCTATTTCTTTTCTAGATAAAGTTGATTATGACAAAGTAGCATTCCTACTCACGGGTCTCCTCTGAATGCTACTTTTCTAACACCCTACCCCTACCACCACTGGGGTCGTCACTACCAAAGAAACTTTTGAGTTAAACCTAGTACCAATCTCTTGTTTAATCCTACTACCTACAAAAAAAAAAAAAAAAAAAGGAAAAGAAAAATGGAATTTAAGTGACCTATCCCAAGTCTAGCAAAGCCAGGATTTGAACCAGAGTCTGTTTGGCTACAATGCCTAAACGCTTTTCACCATATCAGTTGCCTTTAAGGGATAGAAGGGTTTGAATAGGAATGGAGTCAGAAGCTTATAATTGATTTCTAAATCTTTATGACAGTTAAAATAGGTTGTTTTTCTTTTGATGTCCTAAATTAAAAATGGGGAGGGGGGACACTCTATCCAATGGTATCCTGAGCACAAGATCTTAGTACCACCATAAGACATTTCATCACACTTGGAACACTGAATACTCTATCAGAGTAGAGCTGGATCTGTAGTATTTACTCTAGCAAACCTAGAACCTGGGGTGCAATGACTGAAGTATAGCAGGTACATGATAAATACTTGTTGAATGGCTAGTGTTTGAGAACAGTGCAATTTTTGAATAGGAAACATCAAAGAGGACAGATAAAGGGTCTCATATCTTAGAGAATCAGCTACCATAGAACTAAAGTTTATCAACCAAATCAAACTTTCTGACTTGGAATACAATTACAATAGCTTTCAGATCTACAGAATAATTGAAGGGTATCGATGCCTGAAAATTCAGACCATGGAAAAACTGTTTCTACTACTCTTTCATGCAATGTGACCTCATCTGGTTTTTTTTCTTGGCAGCAATTTGAATATAAGGTTTTTTTCTCCTTTTTCCCACCCAAACTGGTACATAGGAAATCTGAAAAAGAAGAGGAAAGTCAATAAACCCAAGAGACTGATGGTGAAAACAGGTACAGGGAGAATTATTGCTGCCATTTGTTTAAGGTAACCAAGGCTGTGTATACAGAAGCATAGCAATGACTGGGTCTGGGAGAGGTTCTTTACAGTTTCTTTCCTGGTTTCTAGGTTTCAAATGATTGAATACAGCTGCTACTGTACAGTTTTACATACAATGATTTTTTGAGAATACATTTTTATTAGTCCTGGAAATTTGTATAAACCAGATAGTTTCTCCTTTATTCTGAAATAGTTAAAGTCAAGATGCCAATATCAGTAAGAACCTGGGGTCTCCTTTCCTCCATTACCTAGGTAGACCCTGCTGGTCAACAACAGAAAGATCAAATTGGAAGGAGTTAAGCAGGGAATATTTTTTCCAACAACTACATAACCTACACAATCTCTGTTCAGGGTCATTTCTAAGACTCTGGGTAAGAGCCCAGGTAAGGATCAACCTCATCCTGTGGTTGTGTTTTTTTTTTTTTTGTCTGGAGACAGAGTCTCACTCTGTTGCCCAGGCTAGAGTGCTGTGGCATCAGCCTAGCTCACAGCAACCTCAAGCTCCTGGGCTCAAGCAATCCTACTGCCTCAGCCTCCTGAGTAGGTGGGACGACAGGCATGCGCCACCATGCCCGGCTAATTTTTTCTATATATGTATTTTTTTTTTTAGCTGTCCAGTTAATTTCTTTCTATTTTTAGTAGAGACGGGGTCTCGCTCTTGCTCAGGCTGGTCTCGAACTCCTGACCTCAAACAATCCACCCACCTCGGCCTCCCAGAGTGCTAGGATTACAGGCGTGAGCCACTGCGCCTAGCCTCATCCTGTGGTTGTTGAGCTGAGTTATGACCTAATCACAAATAGTAAGTGCCAGTGAATAAAATAGCACATACCCAGGAAAAAGGACCTGACTCGTCCTTGAGCTGCCATTTGTTTATATAGCCCTATATATACCAATAGTTATTTCTCTGGGCCATCTGTTCTGGCTAGCTTAGCCAAACATGCTGGCACTCCTTTGTAGATTTTGTTCACAAGTTGAGGCCAAAGTTCCCATATATCCATTTTTCTTTGGTTTAGAACAGATGCTAGGGAGATGGAGAAGGCTATAAATCACCTTATCTATTCTAGTACAAAGTACAAGACCTCAGAAAAGAAAATGAGAACAGGGCATCTCACAGAATTCTAGTATCAGTGACTCACTCATTGTTGACGGACTCCAGGATCCTAGGAAACACATCCAACTCAGAGAAAACACCTAGCTCAGAACCCAGATAAAGATCTTTCTAAAACGCCAAGGCCAAATATCCTCTGAGAGAAGACAAGGGGAAGTGTATAGGTCCTAATTTAATTTCCCTCCCCTTTTCTTCTTAAGCTCCTTTTTTTGCAGGCCAGGGTTTAGACCCTCAGGCCTCTAAAGAATCAGAATACTACTCCCATTTCTAGCCAACTTCAATCACTTCTGTTTTTTTCTAATTTCATTCGCGTCACAATGTCTTCCAAGAATGGCTATGTTTTTGACTCAAAAGCTAAAAGCAAGATGGTCAAGACTTCTTGATGTCTTGGTCTAATAGCAACTTATCAGTCATGCTGGGAAGTGGTCCTCAATGGCACTTGAGGCTATAAAACAGGACACTTAAGTATTTGGTACTGAAATCAATCCCAAATGCAATCTGGACAAAACACCGGTATTAATTTTCTTGTTAGAGTCTTTGGATTTTTCTCCCTTTCCTAGTAACCCATTATAATCATGCACCACACGACATTTAAGTCAACAACAAACCACATATACCATGGTGGTCCCATAAGATTATAATACCTCATTTTTCCCATATCTTTTCTATATTTAGATATGTTTAGATAAACAAATATTTACCATGTGTTCCAATCACCTACAGTATTTAGGACCATAACATGCTGCACAGGTTTGTAGCCTAGGAGCAAGAGACTATACCATACAGCCTAGGCATGCAGTAGGTTATACCATCTAGGTTTGTGTAAATATACTCTATGATGTTCCCACAATGGTGATATGGCCTAACAGTTCATTTCTCAGAACGCATCCCTGTTGTTAAGCAAGGCATAATTGTAATTAATGGGTGGAACAAACACCTTGGTAAGAATGGGACGGAGAAATTAAATGTGAAAGCAGTACTGAGGAACCTGGAATTGGGACCAGAAGACTGGAAGGGACTGATGGAAGACAAAAAATCAAGATGGCAGAAGATAAAATTTGCATTTCTAAGCAATAGAGCACTAGTCTTCATAAAGAGGGAAATAATCTCAATCTTCCAAGATTTAGATGTTGACATATCCAAGATAGTTAGAGTTAGGCATATAAAGAACTTGACAAATGATTGCTAAACAGAAATTAGTAAAGAACACTGTTAAGAATTAACAGTATTAAAAAAACCTCTGTGCTCAAGCAAAAAAGACAGATTACGTTATAGGAAATGCTTTTGGCATTTCGTAGAAGAGTCTTATTTGGTAGCTCTAAATTGGGATATCAAACAAAATCCTACAGAACATACTGATAAGGCAAGACTGTGAACAAATACATAAAGAGGTGGTATTACTTTGTAAGGGGAGAAGTTGAAAAATCAGGTAACAGCAGTTATTCAAATGATACTAAGGATATCAAATCTCTATAATTACCTAAGCCTTCCCTAAGCAATAAGACTTGGGCTTGGGAAAATTCAGCATGTGATATTCACCAAAGAATCCAATGGTTAATTCAGTCTTCATCACAACTCATCTTATTTGACCTATCAGCAAGAGTCAACAATTGGTCATTC